AAGAGAAGATGCCATATATGATGATTAAATGGAAACACCAATAATAGCAAAAAACAGGCTGTGTTCTACAGTCACCATTTTCTCCTGGTCAATACAGCAATGATTCATAACAAAACTTTAGTATCCAGACAGTGAAACTCACAGTTCCATCCTTGTACTATCCGATGTGGTTTCTAGATAAATTTTGACTACTTTAAAAAAAAACCCAACAAAGACCCAAAACAACAACTAACAAGACAAGACAGGTTTAAATGACTTAACTGTTATTCAATGCTCCCCACCATCCGGCTAGCCTCAAGAAAGATCGGAAGTGCAATAGAATACCAATCTGGTATATTCTATCTCCTTAGCAAAATGATATGTCCATTGAGACAGATAAAAATGTCCCAGATGTAGGTCAGACAAAGATTTCAGAGGATCATCTTCAGAGAATTCTAATTGTAACTACAACAGGCTTGAGCAGGGCAGAGACCAGGAGGATGGCACGGGGTGGGGATCTGTTGTTTACAGGATTGATGGCACCTAATCACAATAACGAGATACAATAAAGTTCCTTTATGTGGAAAATCAAGTATTTTTAAACCTCTAATCTTTGGGTCAGCTTTGACAGAAGAATTTCCTGATGCATTAAAGTTTTAGTTTTCCTGGCAAAGTGAAATAAAAAAAAAATAGTTCATCATCTAGACAATTCATTTTAAAATGTCACTTATACAGATAGCAGTTCATTTTTATTTAATGTCACCTGCCTGAACTCATGTGCAACCTCAGAAAGCACCTTGAATCCCAGAGAAGAACTTAGTTGACCCTAGAAACAGAGAAATGAAGCTGAATCATACTTGTAAATGTAGCCATAGGCCAGAATTGTCTGACAATTCCCAGTGTCATCTTCCCCTGACCTATGCCTCTGGTTACCTCTTCAATTGGGCCTTCTGTATTCTGACCAAACTGACGAGCCCTTTTCTGAACATCTATGCACTAAGATTTCTCTGAAATCAAGAGTAAAACTCATATCATAAAATATTTGTGACTAGTGTTAATAGCAATTTATGAAAAATCAACATTTGTAAATGAAGAGAAGGTACCTAAAGCTGACTGTATCGTACCTAATTAATATTAGGTTTCCTGTACTCTAGCAAATTGAAGGTATTAAATATTTATCCTGAACATATTAAAGTACATATACTTTACCCATGTGAAACTTTCTAAACTTTGTTCCTTGGATATTACAAAGTCAAAGGAAGTTAAAGCATATCTATGACACAGATATTACGTAGGAGAGCTATCACATCAGATTTAAATATCTATATCTATCCATATCTCTGATATGATAGCTTACTCACTCGTTGTTGCTGAGTTGGAACCAGCTTATAGCTGACCCTCCAGCAGGTTTTCAGAGGCTGCAAATCTCATAGGAGGAGATTATCCATCATTCTCCCTTGGAGCAGCTGGTGGATTTGAGCCTTCGAGTTGGCAGGGCAACTCCTGACTCACCTGTTTTGTTTGTTGTTGTGTGCTGTAGAGTTGGAACCAATTGATAGCTGACCCTCTAGCAGGTTTTCAGAGGCATTAACCACACAGGAGGAGACTGCTGATCCTTCTTCAGTGGAGCAGATGGTGGATTTGAACCACGTGGCTTTGGGATTACAGCGCAGCTTCTTACCTCTAGGCCACCAGAGCTCCCTACCTTACCTACTAGACCTGGTTATATCTTTCAACCTGGGAGAGTGAATGTTTCTCTTAAGGGCAATGAGAAATACCTTGAATTTGACTTGTGTCTTTGAACACTGGAGAATTAGTGACAACTCTTCCATTATTGTCTCATGATTAAAAAGCAACAACGAAGTCCCTAAGCTAAACATAAAGGAGATTCTATCTTTCTTCTTTCTAAACAAAGGAAATGTGAAAATACAAAGTATTTCCATCTAGTATAAGCAAAAGAAAACAAACCAAAATGGAAATGGAAAGAATCAGTAACAGATATATTTCCAGCTAAAACAAAAAATCCTAATAAAAAGGTAAAGAAGCACATACATACACATATATTGTTTATTTAAAAAAAACCAATTTGTGATGTTTTTTTCTTTTACTAAGGTAATGATCTGCAAGTACAAAGTCTGCATACTCAAGCTTAGAAAGTTCTTGAGAATAATTAGGAGAATTGCCACAGATCTGTCAGCTATGAGAATGTATTTTTAATGGAATACAATTGGATTAAAGAATAATTGTCTTCTCTTTTTGAAAAATCTCAAATATAACAAACAGCATTTTTATTAACTTATCAGTCTGATATGTAACACAACTCTATTAAATGTGGCCTGAAATTAAAAGGCTTGCTAATTGGGTAGCCGTCCAGTGGGTCTTGACACTCCACACGCACTGTCAAGTTTCACATTGCTAATTTTCTAGCCAGCAGTTTTGTTTTCAAAAGCCCCAAGGCCAGTTACTAAGTCCAAACACAAACTTTGCATGTGAAAAACTCCAAGCAGGAAGACATTTTAAACACATCATTAGGATCCTAGTATACATCCTATGTCCTACAAGTTTAGAGTTTCTTTTCTCTTATACTTACCAGGTTTGATAATGTATTTTCATTACAGTGAGACTCAGTTTGCTGGAGGATATCCAACTGATTAATCATAAGAATCTTCTCATATTTACTGTGGTCAATCTGGCAGAGTTTATTAATCTGACATAATATGAACTAAGTAACTTTTTCCAAAAATGGTTGCATTTTAAGATCTTAAAAAAATATGTGTTTTGTTAGAATGTAAATCTATGCCTGGTAAACAAATACATGTCTGACAAATACTAATCTGAGAATTAAAATATTTTACGTTTACACATGACATAAACAATCAGTATCATTATTTCACAAAGTTCTACAAATGAAGAGTAATTTATAAAATTGAAGGAAACTAACAGCTGCATTATGGATTTATCAACAATGGATTTAGCCTCTTTTACTTTAAGGTGACCACATACAACAGAATTGTATGACATAATTATAAAATTAAAGGATTCGAAGGACAGTGATACCCTTTCAGAAAACAAAACAAAACAAAAAACCCAACCAAAAAAACTACCACTGTTCTGGAAATTGTAATGAAGTATACCGACACCTGAACCATTTGCAGAGCAATGAGAAGCATAAGTAGGTTATTGGGCCTGTCAATAAAGTAGCTAAGAACAAGCCAAATTTTCCTTGGTAGTAACAGTTTTGTGCTTTAGGTGGTGAATTATGTACACAGGTGCCGGATTTTCTTTTTGTCTGTAAAAGTTTCATTAGTAAGTTGTACACTTCTTCAAAATAAGGTGATATGATTTCCTGTTTTTAATACTCATTGAAAGTATAGCCAATGAAATATGTAAAAGAATCTGGTTTCTATTTTTAGAATAAGTTTTTCAATAATTTATTTATGATGAGATATAACAATGCCTCCTGGAAGTCTTGATAATGATACTTTTTTCCCCAAAGCAATTACATGTAAACTTAAATGTCTGTTAGCTACTTACCAAGGCATCTCATGAGAGATAAATTTAGCTGGGTAAGTTCTACATTTATATATTTTAGAAAACACCCCAGGTTAAAATGTAAGAAATAGTGTTGTTAGGTGCCATCAAGTTGACTTCAACTCCTAACAATCTTATGGACAACAAATAGGAACTTTGCCTTTTCCTGTCTTATTATGTTCCTAGCATTTGTATATGAAGAATGCCAAATTATATATGGCCACTTTAAAATGACAAGATAACCTAGAAGTACTTTAAAATTTTATTGACTAAATATGATTCACAATAAATGTACACTCATTAAGAATAAGTTAAATTTAAATAATACTGTCCTTGAACTATGTTCAAACTGTGAAAATAAAACAGACAAGCACTCATCTGTTTATCCTCTAAATAACTTTTATCTGTCCTAGTTGCTATGGCAATTCATAACACAGAAAAAAACTACACAGAAGATGAGCAGTGCCTACAGCCCCATGGAAAACCTTACAAAATACTAATTCCAGGAGGTTCAGGATACAGTCTTCTTTAATGAATATTATACATACTGTACTAAAAAAATATTTTTAAGTTACCTCTAATTATTAAACCTTTGTTTTCAACTAGCATATAGTCTCTATATATAATGTAGAAGTTTTGATTCCTGACTTATTTGTAGAGCTAAAAAAATTACTAATTTTTATAATGACCTTTAGTTGTCAAGATATGCATTTGCTTTAACATATTTTCTCCTTGGCTAGTGCAAATAAAACTAATAGAAAGTTATTTTAAGCTGCAACGTAAACGTTATTAAGACAAACACTGAAGTTACACCTGACTGAGTTCTATCCTGCCCAAGAATATACACTAAATAAGCCAAATACTTGTCAAAAACTTCATGTCCAATTTAAAGTATTTATAATTTTTAGGAGATCATCAAATATTCTACTGCAGGTTTATTATTTAAAAAATTGATGGTTTTAACATCATATTTAAAGTAGTATAATTCATGGAAAACTTTTTTCCAGGATTCCATAATTGGGTTTATTTCTAATTACCATCTATTTTGCAAAGCACTTAACTATAAGGGAGACTATTTTGCAGTGTTCGTGGAAATAAACACAAAGTAAATTAATCTTATTTTTCAGAGGAAATTGCAAAAACTTCACCACCAGGCAATCTTTCCTTTTTTTTATTCCTTTTTAACTATTTCACAGTTAGTATAAATCATGTGCTGTTCTCTACCTCTTCTTTCACCTTTATCCAATGTAAGTTTCATATTATTTGGTGATGGTTTGTTTGTGTAAAAAACATCACTCAGTATTTTCATAGGCTTTTTTGGCCAAGCATTTACTTAGGAAACAGGTAATTCCATCTAACTAAAGTAGTTAATGAGTCTTGGGTTCAGAAGTAAGTGCAAATCCTCAGGTGTGGATCTGGAACAGGGGAATTAAACGGAGGATCCTGGGGTGGTTGATAACACTAGGGAAGCATGACTTTAAAAGCCTCACCTTTTGAGCTGCTTTAGAGGGACTCTTGTTTTTGCTGCCTTTGGGTCTTCCCCTGGGTCTCTTAGGAGAGGGCTCACCGGTTGGCTCCTAATTGTAGGGAAAAGAAAAAAAAGAAAAGACTGTTGTGGAAAATAACTGAAATAAATTGACCCCAATTCTCCAGCTCTATTTTCTGCATGTGCTTCTGAGTAGAGCTGCTGGAGCACAATGAGACACTTTAAAGAAGAGGGAAACAACTATACTGTTAATAGTTCAAAGAGGAAATTCAGTTTTGCAGAAGAAAACCAAATTTCACTTCAACTTAAAAAGACACCAAAGGTCTTTAGGTTGCTGGCTCTAAGGACAAATCCAAGTATTTTAAGGTGTAAACTTTTGCAGGACTGTGCATTCCAAGCATTTTACACAAATACTATTATTCAGCTAACATTTGAAACAACAGAAATATGAAGCTAACAGCATAAACATTTCAACAATCTTCCATATTGAAAACCTGATTTTTAAATACCTCTCCATACCCACATTCTGGGTTAATTACAACTCAATTGACAGATTCAGAGTGAAGTATTGGAGCAATTATCCAAGTTCTCCAGCTCAAAAGAACTCTATCCTACCTAAAAACCTCTAAATAATTATGGTAAATCTGTGGTGGGAGGTTTTGCTTGAATTATCTAGATAATTGCTTCAATTCTCCACTTCCTTCTGGAGATTCAGGCACGGCCCAGCCTAAATTTACATATCTTTTGATAAGAAGAAGTGCATATTTTTTCCAAAATTTTCTTTTGAAAATGCTTTATGGGGGTGAACTGGGGGAAAGAGGGAGGAGAAATGGAAATGTCTGGGAAGGAGAAGCAAAATCAATAGGTTTAGCAAACCTATAAATGGCTCCCATGTCAGGCAGTAAATGCTCAAATGGTTAAGAAAATGTGATGATTAATATTGCAGGTTCTAAATGTTTACCCAGTGAATTGCCAATTCACATTTCATTCATAGTCGGTGATTAAATGAAACTCTCTCACGTGAAAAGTATGAAAGCTTCAATGAAAATTCACATCCCTTGTAAAGATTCTGGGAAAGTTTGACAGAGAGCGTCTGTAGGATCACTAGCGCCAGTGGGCATATCCGGAGCAAACACATCGGAGACACATTTTTCTTTCTTTGTGAACTCTGCCTTAACTCAGAGGTAAAACCTTCAATCACCTCCAGACCCCACCGCGTTTTCTTTTAGATTTTTTGGGGAACTCGGGGAGTGGAGTGGGGAAAGAGGAGGTAATTAACAGAGTTAGGGAAAGCTGGGTGGCGGTGGGAAACCAGAGGGGGAGGGCAGAGACTTCCTGGGAGGTGTAAAACAGGATCCTAAGCGGTATTAAGTGTCGCTTGGCAGAGCGGGAAAACTATGGGGCCTCTAGATTGGCTTGTTCCCTTTGATGATTTCGAAAAGGTACAACCCTCTTAGATTTTCTAAAAGGGCACTGGCAAGCAAACACTTCAATTTCCCCACTTGGCTCTTGGGCAGCTTTGGAACCGAGTTTTCGAACTGGCCTATTTGCCATGAAGGAAGCGATAAAAGGGAGAAGGAGCCAAGGAGTTTTAAAGCCCGCGGAAGCTGAGTTTAAATTATCTCAAAAGACAGCTCCAGCCCTGCCCGCAGATGCTTGGAAATTGTTGCGAACAAACACCCCTCCCGTCCTGGGCGCTGCCCGCAACTCTGCGAGCAGCCCACTGCACGCTTAATTGGTTGCATCCGCAGACAAAACCTTCCTCCCGAAGGGGTCCCGGACGCCCCTAGAACGTCCCTTCCTAAACTCCAGCAAATCGCACTGGGGCAGCACATTTAAAATTCCTAAGTTCTGAAGTACGGAATTCATGGGGAAATGGAGGACAGGGTTCCTAGCGAGGACATGACCTTAGCTACTGTACACCCTTTCGGACACCCCTTCCAACGCGCGCCCTTGGTCGAGTGAATTAACCTCCTCGCTTGGGGACCTGGTCTCTTGCAGCCCTTTCTCTGGGCCACCTTGGCAGCGGCTGCTGTGTTAACTAACGGCCGCGCCACATTTAAAGAGCCCTCAGAGGATCCAGTGGCCCGGTCCCCACACGCTCTTTGTCAGAAGGGCGCAAGCCTCGGGCCACCCGGGAGCTTGGAGGGGCCCCTAAGGGGGCAGCTGTTGCGCGCCAGACCCTGGCCTCCCAACAGTACAGAGGGGCTGCAAAAGGAAGCCTTGGGCCCCAGGACTCAGGCCCCTTCAGCCTAGATCAGCTTGCGAGTTTGCGCTCCCCGTTTCTCCGCTACTCCCTTGCCCCCTTGCAATTTTAAAAAGCAGCTCCAAAGGCGCGGGCGAGCCCTGGCTCGTCGGATTCTGGCCGCGTCCAGTCCTCTAGAGATTCCGCGCCACTCAGGATCCTGCACAATAGCGAAATTCTGAGGATGCACCCCGCTCCACCCCACCTTCCCCTGCTGCAGCCCGCGGCGACCCCCACCTCCTGGGCCGGGGCAGCGCGGGCGTCCGCCGCCCGCCGCGCGCGGTCTCCAGGACGCGGGCGTCCCCTCCCCCAAGCCCGGCTGGCGGGCTGCGAGTGGCGGCGGCGCGGCGCCTGTGCTCCCAGAGCCGCGCGTCTCTCGGCCCCGCGGAGTGGAACGAGGCGCGCAGGTGCCCCCACCCGGCCCGCGTACTGACTTGTATTTGTTTCCTGGGTCGTCCGCGTCCTCGCTTCGGAGGCGCGGGGGCGGCAGGTTGTCCCTGGGCTGAAGTGGACGGCTGCCCGGTGCCTTCACCTCGTGCGCTCATCCTGCCCCCCGCCGCCGCCGCCGCTACCGCCGCTGCAACCGCTTTGCCTCAGGCGCCTCAAATCTGCCCAGCACCTTTAGGGAGATAGAGTGCTAGGGGCTGGAGGATGACACAGGGTGAGGCAAGAGCTGGCGTGAGGCGAGGGCTGCTGCTGCTTAGGCTGCCGATGCTGCCACCATCAACACCAGACGTCCAGCGGCTGCCAAAAAGAGATGAGGGGAGGAGGAGGAGAAAAGAAGGCGCGCTGCTGGTGGCGGTGGCGGCGGCAGCGGTGGGTGGGTGCCGGAGGTGGAGGTGGTGGCAGAGTTGGAGGTTTCGTATGAAGAGGAAGGAAAGGAAAATGAAAATGGGGTTTAGAGTTGGAGAGACTCCTCTCTGCTTTGGGGCTCAGAAGTCCCGGGCACCAGGAGCACTTGGGAAGGGGATTGGAAAGGGAAGAGAGTTGGAGTGAATTGTGTCCCTAGAAACGTTAGGCTGGGAAAGAATACCTCCTCCTCTTCCCCCCTCACCCCCTCCACGCTCCCCAAGCAAGAAAGAGAAAGGGGGGGGGCGAATAGCGCCGTGGGCAGTCGGGAGATGGAGAGGGATGGGGAGATTCCGCCCGGATCGGGTCAGGGGCTGAGCGCAGACAGGGGAAGGAGCAGTGGGTGGCACTGCGCCTCCTCGGGTGGCGGGAGCAGGCGGCGGCGGCGCTGGAGAGACAGAGGGGCTCGGCTGCTAGCTCCTGCGTCCTGCACTAAGCGCGCGCTGCCTGATCTGGAAGTTTTCTGAGTTCCTGCTCTAGAATTCAAGCGGGGTGTGTGTATGTATGTATGTGTGTGTGTGTGTGTGTGTGTGTGTATGAGTGTGTTTGGGGAGGGGGCGAGGAGGAGTGCCCAACTCTAATCGTAGGCGGATAAAGGGGAGGGGGCTACGCTGGAGGGAAAATATGAGGAGGAGGCCGGCCCGGCGAACCGCCGAGCTAAGGCGCCTGGCCGCGGGCCAGAGACAGTGTTCGAAATACAACTGCTTCAGCGGCGGCGCCCCTGTGCCACCCGTAGCCCCACTCACGTGCTCCCGCCCAGCGGCGGGGTTAAAGGGATAGGGCAGGGATCCCGGACCTCGCTCACCACAGGTCTCGCTGGGCCTGCCGCCCGAGGTCGCTCCTGGGCGGTTGCTCTGGGAAGATGAGGGACTGTGACTGCTGATGAGCGACGTTTCGGAAATCAGCCTATACCTGCGCCTCCATGATGCGTAGCCAATCTTTACAGGAAGCGGCAGCGTTGTAGTTCCCCAGTGAGTGGGAAGCGAATGCTGCGGAATGGAAGAGGGACCCTAGTAGTTGTCCCGCGTCTCGGGATGCCCTTATCACTGAATGCGCCCGCTCACACACCCACACACATTCACAAAGATACACACGTGCAGATACATGCACCTTTAGATGCACACAGATACATGGATATTCGTGCCCAAAGATACATGCTTGCATACATACGTGCAAACAAACTCAACTGCATACACACGTGCACATGCAAGCAGAGGGCACATAAGCACTCGGAACGCACCGGCTTCTTAAGGGTTTTTTCCTTCAGAAAGGAAGGTAGGGAAATTTATCCAGAACTGACTCAAAGTACCCAGGTTCAGACGCTCCCAGGGCCAAAGTTCTAATACCACAATTGTGCAAACTGCCCAATTCTCCTCTCCTTTTGCCTCTGTTTAACCTTTTTCCTAAGAACTCCCTTTCTGCCAACTCCTAGTTTTATAAGTTGGGCTGCTATATGAACACCATAATGGTCACAGACCGTTTTCAAAAGGTGGAGTACATTTAAAAATGTACCTCTTTGCATCCTTGAATAACACAAAAACCCTGAAAAATTGGGTTCAAATTTTCACACATCACACCCAAAATTATTTTGGACTAATTCTAAAATGAAAATTTTCACTCGAGGAAGATTTTTCCCCCACCCCCGGAAGTTACAGACCACCATGGAATAAAAATGCCAATTTGGCAACCCTAAACCGGGGGCTAACGCCAGGTTCCGCTGTGCATGTGAAGGAGGCGCGTATAAATGCCGGCTTCTGCGCGGCGGCGCTGATTGGCCCGCGTTACCATTTTAAATCCATTTCCAGCTGCCCTTTTCAGGGCTGGGATACTACCCTGCACTGCATGTTGAGTACCTCCAGCAACTGGAGATTTCTCCTGGGTCTGGGAACGCTTAGCTGTGATGGAGAAAAAGCTCCCGTCTCTCTGAACTCGGCCCAGCAACTGACTGATTTTTAAGGAGGGGGCTTTTAACACGAACCTAAAAATGTTTCTGCTGAGGCTTGGCTGAAAGGTGGTGTCTTCAGCAAAAAAAACCCTAGAAGTTCATGTGTTGACCATTGCACTGGCATCCTTTGCCAAAGTAACACACATTTCTTATGCACATTTTACATAAACATACAGAATAAGTTCCTGGGTTTGTTTTTATTTGTTTGCTCCCCCCGCCCCCAAGGAATAGAGATTAAGTTACAAAAATGAGTGTGGGCAGAAGTTACCTGAGATTGCAACCAGTTGGGCTTGCATTTGGTACTTAATTATATCCTTTTATAAAAAAAAAAAGAAAAAGATTATACACATGAGATGAGGAAGCAAGTGAGTCCAAAATTATTTTTTTATTAAATCCTTGGGTCTAAGAGAAGCTTGAAAAAATTGGGGACAGAGCACATCTAACAATTTTCTTCCAGACCACAGTCACTTCGTTTTCAGAAATCTTCATTTATAACCAAAAAAGTATTAAATAATTGCATCAAGTTACATCTATATTAATTTTACGTTGTTGTATTTTCCTAATTTGGAAGCTATAGCTGTTTTGTTTTCTTTTTCCTTTTTTCAAGATTCTGTATATTTTCAATAAGTGAAATATTAAAAATTATTTTCATCTTTAAAATTACATAACACTTTTTATATTTTAAAATGGTGCCCTTAGACATTATCTTTAAAGAATAGATATATTTCATTTTTAAAGAAATGCATTTGCCCTCTTTCATTTGAGAGTATTCCCCACCTCCGGCCAATTTAAGTTCTTTGACTTCACCTTCTTTAATTCATGCTATTTTACACAGCCTTTCCAGGCTAAATTAATTTCTAATAGGAAAAATTTCCAATTACTTTCAGGCTACATGAAACTTCTTTCTTCTGCTCCTATTATCAAATTGAACAATTAGCACCTTAGTTGTATGTTAATGGGATTTCTAATTACCTGTGACACATGATTTAGGTTACTATTTAAAGCAAGTCAGGTTATTAGTAGGTGGTAAAATTAATTTAGTCGGTCCAGAACATAATTTTTTAAAGGCAAAACAAACTAGAGAATGTCACATGTAAAAGTTTTATTTTCATTATAGAATATATGAGTGTGAAGATTAAATTGACATGCATTCTTTTCACCTTTAAACATCTTGGAAATCTGGATATGTCTTACAGTCTGCTTTAAAATGTGTCTTAGCATTATGTATGACATACCAGGCAATATCATTTCTATGTGAATGTACACAAAATAATGATTCTGTTATTGTTGTGTGCTCTTGAATCAGAACTGGCTGAAAGCTGACCATCTCTCGGGATTTCAGAGGTCGTAAGTCACAAGGGAGGAGATTGTCCATTCTTCACCTGCTGAGTAGTTGGTGAACTCGAACCATATGCCTTTGAGATTGCAACACAGCTTCTTAACACTAGGCTGCCAGAGCTCCCTATACACCTTATAATTAATATATCCCTTGTATTTGAAAGTCAGTTGAGCCCAAAGGTCTAGTGAATGATGAGTGAAAGGTAATATAAATGTAGATTTCTTACTGTAGGTTACATATTTCATTCAATGCTTCTGATTTAGACAGGTTAACCTAAGTTTCTTTGCATTCCACTAAATCAGCTCTGTGACCTTCGGTAAGCCATTGTCCTCTTCTGTATCTTCATTTCCTTGTGTCTAAAATAAAACAACAAATGATGAAGCTTCATCTCTATCATAGCATATCTTTATTGCTGTTATAGAAATACTTTTTATAAAATGATTCTTTTTAAATGTACCACATAGAATGAGAAAAGGATTACATATGGAAGTATCTTTAAAAGTTCTTCTAAGGGAAAATGTATCTGTAATGAAAAGATTGAATGTCTCATAATCTACTACTTTAGCTATTATATTTACACCTCTGGGCCACTTGGCAGCATCATGATAGATGGTGAGGAGATTGAGATTGTCAGCAGCTTCAATTTTCTTGGCTTCACAAACAACACTCTTGATACCAGCAGCCCAGGAAATCAAAAGACGAATTGCATTGGGAAAGTCTACTATCAGGGACCTCTCTAGAGTACTGCAGAGCAACAATGTCAGTCTGGAGACTAAGGAGCACCTGGTCCAGACCTTGGATTTTGCAATCACTTGCTATGCATCAGAACACTGGACAATTACTAGGGATGATAAAAAGAAAATTGATGTCTTTAAGCTGTGGTGCTGTAGAAGAGTACTGAATATACCATGGACTGCTAAGAGAATAAACAGGTTCATCTTGGAAAGGGTGAAACTAGGCTGCTCCTTGGAGGCAAGGATTCTGAAGCTTCATCTGAAATATTTTGGGCATGTGGCAAGGAGAGACTAGTCTTTGGAGAGGGGCATCATGCTTGGGAGGGTGGAGGGGCAGCACAAGAGAGGAACACACTCGATGAGATGGATTGACTCAGTGACTGGGGTAGTGGGGGTAGGTGTGTCAGAGTTAATAAGGTTGGCTCAGGATAGAGTAGGGTTCAGAGCTGTAGTAAAGGGTTGTTATGAGTCTCAAGTGACCTGATGGCACATAACGACACATTTTACACTTTAATACATTATAAATTAAAAATAAATTTAAGATTTTCATATATTGAATTAATTATTAATTAATTTAATATGCAGTTATCAGAGATTGATTATAACTAGATATTTTAAAAGAAACAATCTCAAAAACTATAATATTTATTGCTCACTTCTATCCATTATTTTTGTTAT